TCAGAGGTGGCAATGTGCGTTGCCTATTTTTTTGTTAAGTAATGGAAATCTAGATTAACCCCCACACACCTCTTTCACTGTAGTCTAATACCTTAAAACTAAGACCAAAACTAGCTTGAAAATAGGGAAAAAAGAGGCTGCAAAAAATGAGCCTGGAATATTTTATTGGTACAGGCAAACAAAAACTAGTGTCAAAAAGTCACAGATTTTGATAAGAGCCATCTGACATAATACACTAAGAGTACTATCACAATGGGAAATGTAGGACAAGAGGTAAGTTACTAAAACAGAGCCTTTAAATAACTGGAAATAGATCTATTTTTTAAAAAGCTAGAAATACTATTTTTCTATAGTAAAGGTAGTAGGGCTATTATGAGCATGCAGACATAAACACCATTTAGAAAGCAGAAACCAGCGTCAAAACACGATTTTAAGTGACTATATAATAAAACCCACTCCTTCCCACACATACAAGTGCATTCATGCCTGGCTGCTTTTAATTTAAATATAAGGAAAGAATGGCAGTCCTCTCAGAAGAGAGCAGCAGAAAAGGAAGAAGGTCCCTCTGCTTCCCTGATGCCACATGACTGTTTACAGATTTCATCTTTTCCCTTCCAAACTGAAATAAGTCTCAGAGGCTGAAGACCGCCAATGAATAAACTGAGTTGCCCATGCCTGTCAGACTGTCTGCGCTCTGCTCTTCTCATGCTGACCCTGTTAGATTTGACTATTAAAAAGCGGCATTGGGCCATGTCAGCTCTTGGGTGGGAGACTGCCAAGGCACACTTCCATGCTGCTGGCGTCTGAAAGATTGATAATAATCCTGTGTAACACTTTTTTTCCTTTAACCCAGGCAGTTCTGCACGGGGGTCAGTTCTGTGCTGCTACGTACCCTGTCTTGTAGCATGAGGTGTAAAACTAAAATCCTGATTGCCTGTGGCCATTAAAAATCCCATGGCACTATTTACAAATATGCAAGCGATTACGGCAGACTGGAAGTGGTCAAACTGGTAATTCTATTCTGCCAACATAAATCCTCCCACTGTAACTAAATGTGGAATTTTTTTTTCATCTCACAGCATAACGTCTTGCTGTAAAATGCTCATTAGACATCAAATATCTTTATGGAGTAGCACTTGCTTTACAATAGAGGGTGAAAATTCGTTCTATGGGTTGTGAGACACCGAGGCTACTTTAGCTCCAACACATCAGTTTGATACAGCAGAAAATTAATAGATTGATTGGTTTCTAGTGGCATTTGGAACTATCTGCCTCTTCATCTACCAGCAGCTCTTCCTCTCCATCTGATTGCACTGTTGTACTTTATTCTCCCACACATTGCTATAAGATGACACCTTGCATTTTTAAGTTTTTTCCCGTTAATTAAAATACTTGTTCCTCCCAAAAGGCTGGGAAGAAGCTGCTATGTCCAGTTATAAATTTGACTGATGTTGGCATAGCTTCCAGATGCAGAGGTTTTTTCTCTACTTTTCTCTGAACCCAGCTCCCTATGAATTTCTCTGTGTGGTGGTTTGGACTAAGGAAAATTCTAGGCAGCAGGAACAGAATTGTCTAGATCCTATCACAAAATAGCTCCTAAACAAATCCTTAAAAGGCTATGATAATACAATTCATGGCTTATCACCGTCTGATCTCCTTTACAATTTAAAGGAAATATATATATATATACATATGTATATATATTCCTTGGCATAATACAGTTGGATAAGAAAAGCGGCATCCCTTTGACCTGCACATCCTGTCACCATCTCGCTCCCTCCCCCCCTTTATTTCTTCCTGTAGCAAGGAGAGACCAGCCAAGTCACAATTTCATCCCAGAAGCGTGGAATACTGTCCTTACACCCAGCTCGAGTCCACAATTTTAAGTCCACAGTTCGAAGTTGGTTGGTGCTGGTCCCTCACAGTAGGACAGGGGGTGCTGGGCAGGAAATGAACTCAAAAACAGAGATGCAGATTTGGAAAGGCACTCTTCACTGAGCTCAGTGTCAGTTTTTCTAAATAAAAATGGAATTAAGCAGACACTTGTCTCAGAAATGTCAGTTTCAGAGAAACCCTGGTAAGTGAAGGTCTTGCAGTTTATCAGTACATTGTGCATGTAAAGTGGAAAGTTGTTTATAAGGTTTTCATGCATATGCTTATTACCACAGTTAAATACTAATAAATTTTTCATCAACTTGAAGGAGAGAGATGAAAGAAACATCAGTGGCTTATACAGCTGAAGAGCACACCATTGTCATCTACCCAGGTACTTTCATCCCACGTTCTAATATTTTACAGCTTTCCAGCAGATCCCAGTGAACTTTACCAAGCTAGGATCTGATCTACAGCCACAACTTCATTTTGCTTTACCTGAGATAGAAAAATGGATTTCTATCCTTTGGCTATAGAGAAGTCAGTGCTTTTCTTTTGTTCAGTTCAGTTTATAGAAATAATTGCATCTCCTTCAGAAAGAGGACGAAGACTATTCAGCAAAAACCACTTTGAAATTGTATTGCCTGATTTTGAGTTACTGTTCTGAGAGCGTGATCCAGAAGCAACCAAATTCAATAGCTTCTCAGTTTCAGCAGTCTTTGGATCAGGTTTCTAAAGGGTTATTCTTTACACTCAAATGCTGTGTCATATTCAGACTGCAGGGCCAAAAAAAAGAAAGTTAATGCATTTAGCTTTGAATATAGAATGGGATCTTAATTAGCATTCACATTCAGCTTAATTCCAGTCAAAAAAAAAATAAAGTTTTTATCATTAATAGAGGGGTAAAAGGTAACCTTACCCACAGATCTCTCTGATGGAAGAACTAGCGCATACAGTACCATCAGTACATGTAATTTGTGGCAGTATGCACAAAAAGCTATATCCTAACTGCATGCTAGAAAAGTATGTGAACCAGTTGTCTGTACATAGAAGTGCACAGAAAAAGTACTAGAGAGTAGCATGATTATATCCGGGTGCCTCTGCTATAAAAACCATTTGTATTACCCTTACTTCTCTGAATAAATTCAAATGACAGCCCCATTTCATTTCTTCATTCAGTTTGGAGGCCAGATGGCATTAGAATCATTTACTTCACCTTGTTGTGCTTAATTACTACAATCAACACACTATTTTCCAAATTAATCATAACAAAGTAATTTCATTAGTAACACAGCAGGCTGTTGAATTATTAGCATCATAACAGTTTGCAAACAATTAAACTTTATTTGAACCTTAAAAATTTGCAGAGTAGAACATTATTGTAAGATCTAATGGCAGTATAGTACAAATCCAGAACCAAGCAAATAATCAAGTAAAACGCTGTACAAAATATGACTTACAATCACCTTTTTAAAAAATTAGCTGTCTTACTGTTCACAGAAAGGCAAGCGCAACCTAAGTAAACAGAGAAAATAAAGCAATTAGCGTCTTCTACCATCGAGTTTGGTTGAAGTTGTCTTAACAGAGATATTCTTATCCAAAAAAGGTTATGGTATTTGCACAGATTTAAAGTAAACAATTCATCCCTGGTCCACTGCTGGTTTACTCCAAGACACTTCAGCGAGTTTCAGGACATCTTTCAATTTTAAGGCCGTTTGTTTGCTCTCCCCCACCCACCCCACCCCCCCCTCCCCAATCTGTCCTAGGAGGCGGGGGGAAAGCCCTAAAGGAGAACTACAGACAAAAGACACTTTATTTCTCTGGCTGCCACCACCCAGGAGAGGGAGGAGAGGGAGCGCCCGGCAGCCCCGGGGCTCGTGGCTGGGGCGAGGACTCCCTCTCCTGGAAACGCGGCAGAACCGGCGCCGGGCGCACGGGAGGGGGAAGGGGACGGGGACGGGCTCGGCCTCCTCCCGTGCCGTGAAAATTTGCTGCCACCTACCGCCGCGGCCGCGCAGCGCAGCGCAGGGCCGCGCAGCGCAGCCACCGCCCGCCGCGGCCGCGCAGGGCCGCGCAGGGCCGCGCAAGGCCGCGCAAGGCCGCGCGCCCCCCCCACACACACCCCCCCACCCCCTCCCCTTCCCCCGGGGCCCGGCTCCCGCCCGAAATTAAGTTTCGCCCTTCGCCTTAACGCGGCGGGGCGGGAGGGGGATTTACTCCCCAAGAAGGAGCTGGTGGCGGAATTCGGAATTCCATAATTAATAAAAAGCCGTTTCGGTGGGCAGATTTACGACGCTGCCATGTTAACGAGAGAGAAGGAGCTATTCTCGCCGTGATATTAACGCTTCACATTCTGTACACAATGCACAAGTACACTTGATAAATTAAAGTAGTGAAAGATCTGAAGACTCTAATCTATCATTTTAATGCTTCACTGGTAACATACAGAATCAATTTCAATGACTATCTCTTTTTAAAAAAATTACAACAAAACTCCGTACCCTGTTTGACTCCTATTAGAATCCAGCGTACCGTGGAGTATCAGGCAGGAGCTAATATAAAGCCCAACATCTTAGTTGACTGAAATGATCTAATTCCGAGTTCAGACTAACGTTACCTTTTAACCCACGGTGCTTCCAGGGCCCGCCTGAAGCGTAAACAGCACAAGCCACTACAAGGGGACCTGCACAGGCTCAGCCATTCCCAGGCTGGCCCCACCTGCCTCTGTGGCAGATTAAGGGTCTCACAAATCAAGTGTGTGGGAGGATTCAAAAAAAGTGGATCCTGCATGCTAATAGTAAAGCTTCATCTCCCAAAACAAGAGGAGCTAAAGTATTAACTCTGACTTGCCCAACCCCTTTCCTCACAAGTGGTAGCATTTTTAGTGTACTTTTTCTTCATGTTTCAACTGATGCTTTTAGCTACAAAGTTCTGGGTTTGACACTAAAACTGCAGGTAGCTGTTACTAATCCACACAGAGGTGGAAAGGTCTGTTGCACAACTTGTGTCAGAAATTCCAAATAGCAGCAAGGTCTGACCTAACAAAAATTTGGGGGTTTAATATACTATCTTTTTAGAAATTTTCACATCATTCATATCTCCAAAGTCAGAATGGCATCAGAGCAGTATTACCACATAGGCTGATTTATTACATTAGCAAAAGAACCAAACCTTCATTTTGTGATAACAAAATATTAATTAACAACACAATACTAAATATAGGAGAAAAATAAATCATCGGCTAAAACATAATACAAAAACATTTGGAAGCAGAATACCCTGAAGACTTGCAATATTACACATAAATTTCCCTTGATTTTCCCAGGAAACTGCACAAAATGTACAGTGAGCATTAAAAGGTTAATGCATGCACGAACTGAGTAATAGCCTTCTATTTTCGCTGTTTGGCTTAATTTTTCTGAGGAACAGGAAAACACAGCCAATTTCCCTGAAAGAACACAAACCTATAGCTATACAGAGTGCTGCTAATGTGCTTAAGAAAAGAGCAACAGGCGCTATTTGGCTGCTTGTGCCCCATATGTTAATTGCCATCTATTTCATTTCCTAGCATTACAATTCTGTAAGAAGTGGCTAAGAAGAACATTTCCGCAGAATTATGATCAACTACAGTTTTTAATGTTTAATATACACAAGGCAATGACCTGACTGCATTCGCTGAAACCACAAAACATGTACGGCAGAATCTTCTTCTTTCAGAGGCTGGCTCTGTAAGCTGCAGCTGCATACCACTCTTGATTTCAAGTGCAGATTTCTCCTGATTAGGGAGAGGGAAGTCAAAGTTCATCATTAAGCAGAAAACCTCAAACATGCATATCAAACCCAGTCCAAATATCTATCCCCTTCCACAGTTTTCTGCACAGATAGATAGATACATACTACTAAAGTAACAAAACTAACCAGAAAGGACACCAATTCTTCTATTTTTTTTTAATAAATATCTGGAAAAGGAATGTAGTTATAAAATGCATCATCTTTTGTGCATTGTGGCTTAATATTTCATACAGAATCCCAGAAGTGCTTTAATTGAACCTTCAATATATTTTGCCATAATCTTTATGTTAACAGGACTCCTACAAAGGTTCCAGGAAAGAAATACTTCTGAAACAGAGAACAAGGGAACATATAAGCCATTACAGAAGATTGGATTAAAATGTACTTACCCAGGCCTCTCAAATATCATACATCTCCATTATGTAGGCTTTAGGCACCAAGCCAATGGTTCCCTTCATTTCTCCTACCCACCAGCCAAATCTATTGTACTCCTAATTGAAAACAATATGCAATATTAACCTTTAGTCTGATATAAATGCAATAGAGTTTTGTATGCAACTCCTTATGGATGCTTTTTCTTATATACAGTTATAATGATTTCAACTGAAAATTAAAACATTATATCTTTTTGTTAGAGGCATTCACACTCAGAGTTAGGCAAAGACAGAAGTTAAATTTTAGAAAGGGCAGGCATACTCAGGAAAATTTCTTGATGACGGCCACGCTTCTCTTTAACACCTACTAAAAATAGCCAACTTCTTCATCCTCTATTCATCACAAATACAAAAACCTTATCTTTGTAACTAAAATCTAATAGCACAACGTTGACATATAAGAATCAACGGAGATTCTTTCAGCATCACAAGACTAAACTCTAAGAAACTTACAGTCAACTTGTTTTAAAAACTACTTGGCCCAAATGTAAAGGGAACACTATGTATCTAATACATAATCTCTTTCTATGGACAAAGTCTACTATTGCTTTAGGCTTGCAGAAAATTCTACAGCAGATCTCATATGTCTGACAGATGACTAATGTACTTTTGTTTTAAATTTGTTTAGGTTTAGTGAGATAAATATGAAACAAAATTAATTATAATAGTTTAAAGAAATAATATCTTCCAAAAGCAATACCAAGTAAGAGTATTGTGGGATCCAAATTTAATTTTTTTCCTATGAGGTAAATATTTTAAGATCAATCCTAACAGCAGTTCAATAAATTGTAACAGCTGAAATTGCACGCACACATATATTGAGTTACAAATGAAGCATTATTAAAACAGAGACCCCATTCAAAATTGAATGATTAGTAAGATAGAAATTACTTTGGAACAAACACGGAAAACACAAAATATACAGATATCTCTGATAAGCAACATCTGCTTCCTGCTACGCTGCTCCTCTGATGAGAAAAGCAAAAGGCTGTAGGATTTTGAATTAATGGTCCTACTGCGATGAAGCTATTATTTTGACTGTAGATAAAGTTTTTCAGTTATAAATAGTCAAGTGGAGCTAAAGGGTTAATGGAGTTTCATTAGAGCCTAAGCTATAATGATTTGCTGCTGGCATATTTGGCCTGGTCGAGAGTTCTCTAGGGTCCTATGAGGTGCTTAGTGTACTCAGCTCTCCCTGTGCTTAACTGATGAAGCCCTGTTGATGGCCCACTTTTATGTGGGCCCAGGATTTTATTTTTATTTTTTAAAAAAAACGTGCTTGCACACAGGCACATATACTTTTGTATTTTCTTATTGTGGAAGGCTGAACACCAGCCTTAAGTGAAACATTTTCTTCCTTCTCTTCACAGTGAATTGGTGATTTAAAAGATTCTATCCTACTATCCATAAAAGACTGCAGTAAGTGTGATTTAAAGAAAATCCACATAGAGAGCAGCAGGAAAACCTTCATTTATGATGTGAACACACAAATGAGAAAGCTGCAAAAATAATTCCACCTTCTTCCCGCTTCCACTGTAGAACAGACTGCACTGAAGATCAGGTTCAGATACCTCCAGACTTCTAGAACAAATCCGTCCCCAGCAAACTGCTCTCCACAGAAGTTAAGAACTGCTCATAACCTTTCCCATGGGGGTACACATTACATCCTAAATCCTTAAAGGCTAAATAATACCCTGACACTGAGGTTTATAATGTTCCACATCAGCCTGTTTAAAAATCTATGTTTTATCTCACAATACACTGGTTAAATATACAAACTGGATTTCTAGACTGAAGTGGGAAATCGCTGAAAGGAGCAGTACTCACGTATACTACTGGAATCTCAGCAATAAATCTCTCCAAGAGAAAGCAACAAAAGATTTTAAGTTGTTACATGGAACATGTGAAGTGACTGACAAAAGTGATTAAGCAAGTTTTGCTAGACACCAGCCAAAAAAACAAACAATACATGAAATGAGGGAAGTGGCTTAGTTAAGCGGTCATTAAATTGCATATGACAAATGGCATAGAAAAAGCCTGTGGACTACATTATCCATTTAAAATGTTCCACTTAGCAACACTACATGAACTTAGAAACAATTGTTTTTAAAGAAACAATTCAGATACCTCAAATTAAAATTAAAAGCTGTTTTGAAAACTTTCTGGGTTTTGCTACTTACTAATACACCACTTACTGCTCTGGCATGAAGCTAAGTGAGAAGATGAAATGAATGCTGTTGTAACAGACTAGTAAACTAATTTAAGGATTCACTGCAACCATTATACCATGCAGACAGTATCGCAACACAGAAGCTTTTACTTTACATTACTATTCTTTGCATGGGTCTCAAGAGCAACATGAATCCCAATTAAACTATCTGCAGGGTACAGAAGTCTGAACAAAAATATCATGCAGATACCTGGCCACCAAGAATACAAAACTTTAATCTCAGGTTTTAGAATAATTAGGTAGCACTCCCTCTTAAACTGATTAAAGTGCAGACATTTCTCTTTAAACTCCTAACCACTCCTTTCTGTCCTCAGTACCACAAGAGTGCTTACGAGTCAGGCAGATAAGCAGTGTCCCCCTTGCCCAGTCCTTTCTTGAAGTCACATATAAGAATCCAAATTGACACATTGTTTCTATCAACGTTATCAATTCCAAACTCCTTCTTAGCAATATAATTTAATTAATACACTGCTGTCATGAGGTCCATATGTCTGTTACTGCTGCTTAAGATGTGTAGTACAAAGCCTAAAACCCCCATTTGTGGGAAATAATGATTAATGTGCAGAAGGGTAAGAATACAGTCAGGAGTTCTGTATGAATTTTTAGGAGTTGGGAAGCACAGTGCTTTTGCAAGCATCAGCTTCAGATCTCAGGTACCACTGGGTTTACCATCTGGTATCTCTCACTGCATTCAGCTCTTAAGATCACTGCTAACGTAGGCAAGCGACTATACTTCAGAAGGACTGATAAAATAATAAAGAGTCCTTTAATCTACAGGAAACCATTGTAGTCAATTTATAAGAAATATTGCATCCCTTTGTAGGATGTGTAATTATTTTCTATTAATCATGTGCTATAAAGCTACATTATGTGGTTATTCTGTTATCACTAGAAAGAGGCCTGCAGTCAGCTCCTGACAATGTTAGGTAATTACTAACACAAAGCTTCTTTCTCCTTATGTAGAAATGCTATCAAGATCCAGAGGTGCTGTGATGCTCGCTGTATGAAAATAACTCTCCAAAGAAATTCAATAACTGCAGAATGAATTGCTCCAAGGCAAAGAGGGGGCTAGGGGAGGGGGGCAGGGCCAGCTCCAGCTGCCCTGCGATGAGGGGAATGCGCAAGTGTGCGGCTGGGCCCTGCCGTGTGACGGGAGCACATCTGCCATGCCAGGCAACGCGGGGCAGGGCCGGGGGGGCCAAGGGGCCACCGCAACCCCTGGCAGACAAGCGCCAGGGCAGGGGAATATATTATGCCAAATAATATGAAACAACCACCTTAACAAATGACCAAATGCTTTCTAAGCAACTTCTGTGTTTTCACTGTCTGTAAGAGTGGGGGGTTTTCTGCTTCCCCAGCAGAAGCGTATTAACCGAAGTGAAGTAATTCCACGGGGCAGCAAGGAACAGGTTATGACTTAACATTTAACATGCTGGCAAAACATTCTCTGTACAGCGTGCTATGATAGCAGGGGAAAAACAAAAGTCATCAGGGTTTACAGGCTCCTTAAATGCTCTCAACAGAACACACTGTGACCAGATGCTCCTCCTTGTCCCCATCCCACCAATTTCACTGCACGGATGTGTATGTACATATGACCCCACGAGACACAGATCATAGAAGTTTTTGCACTCGGGGAAAACAGTAGGTGGAAATACACTACCAGTTTTTTACAGATATCTTTTAAATCCAAGATTTTTGTACTACATAGAGGAGAATTTTGATACGCGAGAAAATTTTTATACCCAAGGATTTCCAAAACAGTCTTTACCTTTAGAATAGATCCACTACGTAAATGAGGATCTCCAGATGCTTTGCACCATATTAACTTCTACTGACTTCAGCAAGAGTTGAGAACATCTGGTCCTTGTGCAGTTAGTCCCTATTGTTCAATACATATGGTATGGGGTTTCTGTGTTTGTGGGGTGGAGTTTTTTATTTGTTATGTTTTTTAAAAAGAGTTGCTGAAAATCATCATTGTGTTTCAATGTCTTGAAGAAAACAATGCAGTTGTATTTTAAAAAAAACACAGCTGAAGTGTGTGAATTCACAATTTTTCTCCTGCCCTCTTTCAGTGGCACTATAAAGTAATATTAACTTATGGGGTGATGATCTGCAAACTCTGAAAAGCAAAACGTATCTATAGCCTCGTTTGGAGTTTAAATAATTAGCCTCCCCTATCAAGCTAAAGATGTACGGGAAGCAGGGAGAAATTTTTTTCAAATAACATCCTGGGGGACAATTTTGGCAAGATAATATTTTAAGACAACTGTAATTCTTTCAGGAGATTCAGCTAAAAAGCTAAAAAGTTTTAGAACTTCCTTTGGTGTAATTGCTGAATGATACACTATCAACCAGGGAGCATTTTTGGCACAGAACAGCATTTTCTCTAAAAAGCAGAAAATGACAAATGTTTTAGATAACTGAATGAGACTTCTTCACAGGTAGTAGAGTTGTTTTAAGACAGCAATAAAATGGCCACCTTTAAGAATATAAACTTCAGATTTATTGTATGGTTGCATTATTAGGTTTTATTTCCTTCAATGACATGAGACAAAATAGACACCAATTAAAGAGTTCCAAAATACATCAGGGTAAACAGACTGAATTATGAACCAAAACTGGCCCCTGAAAACACCCTGAAATGATAGAAGGGCCATTTTATTTTCCATCAGATGACACAACACCTACATTTTTTCTAATCAGGACATATTATCAGTGTGCAAACCAACAGAGCTAGAGTCACTTTGCATTAGTCTATCTTAACTAACCTTCCATTTAAAGGCCTTCACTCTTACATTTAGAAATGCATCTATTTTATTTTCTTCTGTAAAGAATATACCTAAACAAGCCAGAAAAAGGAAATGTACCACCAAGTATTGCATTTTTGTTTTGATCAGAAGCATCCCACTGAAATGAATCTCCCAATGCTCCCACTTTCCCCACCTCGGCTCACTTTGCAGAGTCGTCATTCTCAAGAGCACACACGCTACATTTCTTTCAGATGAAACTGAAATGGAAGATGCACTTGAACGTGCTCCAACCACTATAGTGTGTTCTCATTACATAACACCAGACTAGACCTTTTTGGACATCAAACCCCTTTGAAAATGCACGGTGCGGAGCCCGGGGCCTCAGCACTAAGTGTTTCACTCTGCAAATCTGCTCCTATTGGTACTTCTTATGTGCTAAGGTAGACATGGGCAGTATGGTCATGGAAAGAGAAATTACTGTTAATACGGACCTCAGTACGTTTAGTCAGAAAACAGCTTGACAAAAAAACCACTCAGAATTTTAGTACGCCTCTCACATCTTTTTGAAAAACACTGAATAAATACATTTTATGAAGATTATCCATATAAAGTACAAAATGCTTACACTGATTATGAAACAGCTGCACTGTTAAGTTGCACTTCATTTCTTAAGCAGTAAGCTGAGCTATGGAAGTTTCTTTGTCTTTTCACTAAGCAAAAAATACAGGTTGGGTTGTGAGCATTTTTAACAGACATTTCTTGTATTGAAAGAACAAAAATCTACCACACTGGAAATGCACAATCACTGAATAAAGAGTAATCTAGATACCAAGTTAACACTCTACTTTCATGAAAAATTCTAGAGCAAAGGGTCAAGATTTCCATTAATCATAAATACCAGAGTGAGCAGCATTATATTGCATTGGCATGTACTGAAATAATAACAGGGAAGGAGAATTCCAGTTTCAGATCTGATTTCTGATTTTGAAGTATTATTTGTTGTTTTAATGTAAATATAAGCATAAATTAGATGGGAATGAAATTAGCTTAAGAGTTAAGAAATGTCAGTGATTCTACTAAGTAGGTGCCTCCTAACATCTAAGTAAATTTCCATTACTACTTGCATTTAGTGAATGAAATTACGGAATTTCCCAACACAAAACATGCACCTAAAGCAAACAAACAAATACTGCATGTGCTGCACTTGCAGAAATTGTGCATACCAAACTTTAAAATACAGGCTAAAGTTTTAAAAAAATAGGCTACCTCCACTCGTAGCTGTCTTTGTTTCTGGAAATTGATTTCTTGAGTAGAGCTATGGAAGATTTATAAAAAGGATTGTTATGTCATGGTTTGTTGCCCCATTTATCATATGGGTTTGAAAGCAAAGGCAGGCCCATAAATGAGTAGGAGTTAAGAGCAATCATCCTTTTAGAAAGCAGGACGCCCAAGTATTGCATTTCTAATAGTCAAGATTAACTAAGCAGTCAATATTAACTAAGAAATCTTATTAATAAGTCTCTCTATCGGTAAAGCGATAAAATGTTTTCTACTGCATAGCAGGAGAGGGGCATATAGTTTTCTGAAAGTTCACATAATTCATACCGTAAGTTATAAAAGCCACTTGAGTATTGAAGAATATTATAAATTAAAATTATAATAGTATGAGTTTATCTGTACAGATACATTGATCAATTAATTTGAAAAGTTAACTACTTTTTTAAATAAAGAAGTTAACAAGTACTGTTGCAACACTTCTGTTAATTCTGCTCAACATAAAAACTCAGCTTTTGAAGGAAACTCTCAAAGGTAGAAAAACCTAGAAAAAAGTTTGGGGATTTTTTTGTAAGAGCCCGTAAGACTGCTGCCACACAAAAGCCACAATGGACATAAATATTCAGATAATAGCTAAAATAGTTTTTGAATGCACTTTCAAAACAAGGAAAACAGGCTTTTCTACAGTAATTACAGTAGTCAGGCATAGGTATTTGTATTATCAGAGTACAAGCGTGCAAATCATGCTTACTGCACTAACACCGAATTTTGATGCTCAGTTTAAAGCAAATTATGGGGCATTTGTCTTTTCATAATGCTTAGCTATTTTAGGAAGTAAACATTGCCAAACTCTAACCTTGCTCGTTCTTCTAAAAGGCATTCACCTAGATGCTTACATGTAACATATTGCTCCTCTTGCTGTATTTAAATTATATCAATGCTCAAATTTGCTAGACTGGTTCATAATTACTTCTGCTGTACTAATGATCTTGTTTCTTGGAAACAAAATACTCACTTTTCCCCTCATTTCTATAAGGGTATGTGAAAAGGAGGTAAAAATATATTGCTGTGGCATAACTATTGCTGGGAGAGACAAATATCTATCTTACCACGTTCGTCAGAGCAAGCTATACCATTTATATTTCATTGTAAAACAAAGAACTATTACATGTTACAGAAATATGTTTGATATTTTGTTAATGCTTCACCCTTCCTACTATAATACTGCTATACTCGTACTTACTTCCTTATCAGCAAAATGTGATTTTAGAGAGTAATGCTCATACCTGGCTAACATATGATAGAAAGGCAATAAAGCCATAGCTAGGTTCAAGCTGAAGCTGAATTTATGACACCATTTTGGATCTATACACATTGCCTCCTGTCAGTACCTGCATCTCTCATCTTCAACCACTAGATGGTGTGAAAAAATAAAAAAATTGCCAAGGATTCCTGCCGACTGCCACAAAACCCAAGTATGAACGTAGTGGATTAGGAAATATTTTCTGAAGAAAAGTCTTGACCCATTTCAGGATGGTTACGTTCACTTTTCCTTTGGTTATATTTTCACTTACCAAACAAAGAGCTTGTAAATGATCAGACCTTGAAACTGAATCAAGCGGAGGGTTAAGATGGATAATTCTCTGGCACTTTCCCCTCCAGGGACCTTAAATTCAAAGCTGACAGTAGTGGCCAACACTCATTTTTCTGTAAAAGCTGTAACAATCTTTAAGTGAAACAGGGCTGAATTTTCTGGGCTGTATTTTGGAGTAGAAATCATTCCCAAAGAGAAAGCTCTATATATCTGGAGCAGCAGCGAGCCTGTTTCAAGGACCGATTATGGATTAATCACGGCACGACCACAAGACAGTTGATATACAGAGGACAGCTTAAGCTACTGTTTTTCTATTCGGCTCCATTTTTTAAATTAAATTTTTCACTCTTTTGGGGAAGGAGTAGCAAATTATTTTTTCACCTACAAACTGAAGATTAAGATTTTATAGTCCCCACACCGTACCAGAAGAACACAACCCACAGAGAGGCCTAAGTCATACAGTGGCATTAATTTGGTCATGGGCTTTTTAGGGGGAGGGGAAGGGCGAAGACGTGGTTATTTTAAATTAGTACCATTCTTCAGTGTTGTATAACTGCTTGAAAGTCTGCCCAATCCAAGAGTGTTATCCGGCCTTTAGTAATGCAATTCAGTTATTAGTTTAAGTGACAGTGAAATACCTCAAAAGACGTACATGGTCACATTACCATTAGTAATACAGCTTCTATATTTTTATATAGGACTGTCTTTCTATCCATAAATCTTAAATTTATTTAAACAGAAGCTGTTGCATTTATTATCTGGAAACATTGCAGTTAAAGGTATCATGGAAGATTTAAGCAACTGTGACAAACTCAAGAGTTTGAAACTAAGACAAACAGATGCCTTTCGTTACCATGCACCTACTTGTATGTTTCAATGACCTACAATATCTTTGGCATTAACTGTACTGAACAGCAATTGCATCTGAGATAGATATTCTACATATATTTTAAATTTTTTTTCAAAGAGAACTTGAAAAGCTCAGCTTTTTTTCTAATATGTGGGGAAAAGAGAAATTTCCTTTGATGAATTGTTCAGAAGTAGAGTTCAACTGACCATGAGATACATATTTTAGGAGAGGTTTTGGTTTTGTTGCAGGGGCTAAGGAAAAATAAGAAAATTAACCAACATTAAAGTAGAATAAAATTTCATGCTTATGCTGCTTATCATCACTTTAGATGAGAGGAATTATATTTCTCATTTGCTTTGCAAACAGGAAAGCAGTAAATTAAAAATTGCAAAAATCTGTCAGAGCAAACAAATTTGGAATCTGAGCTGTCAGAACAATTACACTATACACACAAAGATGAAAGCATAGTTCAAAAAAAACAAACCATCTTTTGTAGCAAGATGCCCAAAAAGTCAGAATCAGCACAGTCAGAAATATAAACCAGGAAACAAAAAACATAACATACAAGGTAATTTAGAATTCTACAAGGTTAACTTTTACAAGCAGAAAGCACATTGTCTCCCATTAAATCAGTCAGCAAATGGTAGCCAAGATTTAACAGGTAAATAAACACGCTTTTAAGTTAATTCCTGTTACATGGCTATGTTTTAAATGTGATTATAGTTCATTTGACAAAATAATTAATTGCAGTGAATATCTGATTGCAAACAAAGGATCTGAAAGGGAGTGCCAGTTTCCCCCCATAGAACTGTGGGAATGTGCCCTTCTGCCATGGCTCTCTTTTTACAGCTATATAGCCCCAGAAGCAACCCATACCTTGCTGAGAATGTAGATAATGTCACCACGTTTAAATGTCAACTCATCAGGTACATCTCCTGTGCAGTCCCACAAACCTTGATAGAAATTGGCATAATCGGTATTTTTGCTATCTGCAAGGAAAATGGCATCTAATTACAAAAGGATAAATATTGAGGGACTAAAGTTACTCTTTTAATCTCCACACAGCACAAAGCAATTTATTTGCGCACACTTCTTACTTCTCTTTTCAGAAACAGCTCCTTCATCCCACAAAAGCAAGTGGAAAACAAGTTTAATGTGCGAGTCCTTCACCGGCAAGTTGTATCACTTAAAAGACATGTAGCTACAGGTTTTCAAAGCATTTTCCAACTGCAGCTTAAAGCAGCAAGTTTTCCTCTAGTAATATATTCCCAGCAAGCCATATTTGTATCTCAACTTGAAGCTGATAAAATTGCTACAATATAATTAATAATAATCTGTGAAAGGAAGCCAAAGTAAGTATTTTGTGATATGTTACCCCTCCCTCTCCTGTTCCAACAAAACTAAATAACTTCTCTGAGAACCTTGGAGATAATCCTTGATTGTTCCTTCTGAAATATTGGAGAACTTGGAAACTGTTGCTGAAGCTGCATTTTAAAAATATTTGTGTCAGCTCCAGTTTAGGACATTAAGGTCTGGCTAAACATGCAACTACACTACAGTCATAAACTCATCCTTCTAACAGGATAAGCACAATGGATGTGCTGTGTTCAAGCTGCCATACAGGCCATTAACTGATTGATTATTTAGCACTCTTTGCTCTGTAATATGGCAATAACACAGTAATAAATGCTTTGTCATACACTTACAATACAGACTACATCTACTGAAACACAGTGCTTACACATGGTTAAATACACTGGGTGCTTCTGTTACACTGCAAACTATTTCCTGTTTTTAATTCCATGAGAATGGAGTGTGATGAGTTAATGCAAAAAGAATGTAAGCAATACCACTAAGATGACCAGTTACATTATGTATACACTAACCAGACAGAATGTATATGTACTAATAATTTACATCACTGGAAAGCTATCTTCTAATTCTGATAACATAAATATCCCTGAACTGGCTGGATCAGGGCTGTCATCTTAGTTTTGTTATATGATCCTTGAACAGCAGGCTTGCTGGTTATTCCAACATGTACCAGTTACATTTGCATGTCGTTAGCACTCTACACCATTATTTATAGTTTACAATTTAATCATGATTGGTTCACTTTATTACTGAAAAAATTCCTGCTAAAATATCAAGTATCAAACGATAGAAAGTGTCACACTATAAAAAAATATAGCACTATTCAACCTGTGGTTTTCCCTATTTTGACAAATACCTACATTTTAATTCTAATACTCAGTATGAGCAAGAGCTGCTTGTTTTCTATTTATCCATTTCAGTCTGTGTTCTGGGCTATCGTGTTTTGATGGCAATGCTGTCATAAGGCTAAATATTCTCAACCTTGAATTTAAAGCTGCTATGCAAGTTAGCAACCATTTAATTTTCCATAAACTGGTAATTAGTAGCTACCACTTACTATATAGCACTAGGGGGCGTTCTGAGTAGCAGTGCACAACTTCTATCCCACCAAAAGCAGCAATACATACATATACAAAAACTCCTGACCACTCAGAAATAAGAGAAGTCGTTACTGCAAAATGCATCGACAGAGGATTTCAAGAGGAAGGTGGAATCAGTTTGAAATGCTGCACCTCCAAATTTTGGCCCTTTCCATTTGTCAGCTCATTATTCACCAATTTCACATTAGAAATCTATAAGTAGTAACACAGGTTAGCGCCAAATTAATTTGTGATAAATATTAAATCAGAATCTCTCCTCAGTCTTTTGATACAGCACTGATCACAGTTCCCAGCTCTATCCTGTAAAATATAATGTAAGCCCATGTGAGAAAAAAAAATAAAAGTGCTATTTCTGTAAATCTCACCTTTCAAATCTTTCAGCAGTTGTCTTACTGATTGGGATTAAAACACATTAATCAGGACTTCTACTTCTTCAGAATTGCACTGAAATGAATCATGACTTTTCACACTGATCTTTATCACTTTGAAGTCTGTTCTTACCTTTATGTGCCTGAAGTAACTCCTGTTAACAGTAGTGGGAGTTACATGGGGAACATCAGCAACAGGAGAGATCCCACAGTGGGTGAGACACATCTCCCTAGATGCTCATCATGAGCATTTAATTAAGCCTTAAAGTGAGAAGGCAACTCAACCAATAACATGGCCAATACTGGAAAAGATGCATTTTAAAATAAGCTTATTGCTACCGTGAAGGTGTTGCCCAAAGCCTAACAATACCTCTGTGCCCTTATGTGTGAATTCAACATAACAAATTTAAATCAGAAAGCCACATTTCTCAGAAAACCATACACCAGTATATCAGGAGCACGGAAATGAAAAATAGGGAGAGAAAGTGCCAGTGTAAATTTGTGAACAACCATGCCAGTCTTCCAACAAGTGTTAATTTAAAACGGAAAATCCCCCCTTATGCCCACCAGCATAAGTTTCTCCAAATTCTGTACATGCAACTATGCATGCATAAAAGCCAATTGTAAATTTAACTTCAGAATCTATGTATCTAAAGTGCAAAATGCTTCATAAAATGATTGCTAGAGCTTCACAAACGCAGAGGTAGAACAAAAAAAAAAGCTGCAAAAACCTCTGTAAAACTTCTTCAGCCCCTCTTTCAGTCAGAGAGGACTCTGCCAAATTTCATTTGATTTCTTCTGAAGAACTGAATAATACAAAACCAGGAGACTTGGGTAACGGAATTTGGTATTTATATGGTATTGAAATTATGTAGAGCTTCTTAAACACATGTAATACCTGAAGACAGCTGGTGGATTTATCATCAAGAATTTATGTGTCCATTAGAGTTCAAATTCAAAAGGTAGTGATTTGCTGGCATTATTCTGTCACAATTACACTCTATTCTTACACACTGTGAAATGGTTTGTGCCTTAAAAATATTACGATGATATAATTGCTTAACTAAAGTCTGTTGTATTTCCAAGGCATGGTCTCTTTGGCCAGAAATATCAGTAAGACATGATTAAAAAAATTTAAATATGTAGCACTGGGTAGAAAGCAGTTTGGTTCTACCTCCCCACTGTTTTTAATATTACCGATCGCAAGAAATGGCTGAGCAGGATTTTGGATAGGTTGTTTCTCCAGGAAATACTTCTTTCATTCCAGGACAGCTATCTGGATGAACAACTATCCAACAGTTTCCAAACTCCTCCACAAGGAATTCTTCTGGTTTTCTCCTGCCATCTCTGTTTTTCCAGTAACAGTAATAGGAACAACAGATACTTTTGTCCAATATACTGATGAAAACACTTCAGAGTTTATTTGACAGATCAAACTAGCAGCAGCTGCCAGCCTTCCTGACAGTAGGCTCAGACTGCTTATTTCACTGAAAAATACTGGCACCTGACAATACATGCTTGAAGAAATAAAGGTGAACAGTTCCGGTAAAAAAAATCTGACAAGTATATCACTCAAGCAAACACTTCAAACACTGTAGACTGTTTAAAACTTAAGAATGCCCATGGATTAACTCAAGGGGAAAAAAAAAATGTAAGAATATTCTAACAACCTCAACAGACAGAAAAAAACAACCTGGGGAAAAAAAAAAATACATATTTCAGAGGGATTTAAGTGCCCTGTCCCATTGCAGCCTAAGCCAATCCAGCTGCAGGCTGTTCCATTCCTGCCTCCTCCCTTGTGCCAATTTTGGCACTTGCCATTTCCGAGCACAAACCTGGCAGAAAAGTAAACTGACCAAAACAAAAACAGGAATGATGGCCCATGTATGGAAATGCACTACTTTAAGTATGACTGTGCCTGATTTCCACCGATCTTCCACTTTAATGTTGATGGCATCTAAGTTAGCAAACCCTACTACAGTAGTGACTCAGAGCTAGTAGTTGTATTATCTAGTTAGGCACTGCTTGTGGAATGAAGGACCACGTGTGTATGTTTTCCTTTCACCACTGTGGTCTACTGCCCAGTATGTTAAACAGCTTGCCATTCTGATTCATATTCCTTGACTCTTGATCAGATTCTTCAGAAGTTTATAGCATCAGGTCTGACGATTACTAGTCTGGGCTACTTAACAATATTTGTGAACTGGAAAATTACTGTATCCCCTTTTGGTGATGATGTGCTCAAAATTTACCGTACTGAAGGCTTAAAGATGGAGAGGCAGGTGAAGTTAAAAGATTAATGCTACCAGAATGACCCTGTCTTACCCAAGTCATTTAGACTCTCAGTATTGAGTCTCAATGCCCAGGTGAAACATACCCTGATAAGAACACAGTTTTTTGTTCTGATGCTGTCCTGAACTGCAAAGAATGCCTGTTCACTTGCTTGCCCTTTTTCCCACATGACACACAAATTATGAAATAAGGGCAAAATAATTGTAGCGTATTTATTTGGACTCAACCTCTAATCTAGCCCAATCTGTTCAGTCTAGTCTTTCTCACTTCCCTTCCCCTATTGTTCCTTAATTAATCTAAAATCAAGGTATTTATACTGAGACCACACATTGTGTGATTGTGGAAATTATAATGGGTAGATAGCAGTAGCAAAAAAGACCCAGCAAACCATATTATATAACTGAAACTTTCAATGCTTTGGTGTTTTTAAATAATTAGGTCACTAGCAATTAATGTAAAGCTATCCAGCAGCAACAGTCAGCATCAAGACTGAAGGAATAAAAAGAACTCAAGTCTGCACAATAATTGAAGTAGAGATAAGTTAGGGCAAGAAAAGGGGGGGGGGGGGGAGGGAAAGGTTTTTTGCACTTATCAGGCTGAGCTCACAGACAATTTGCAGAGTATTTTCTGTGAAATTCTGGTTCAGTAAAGCTAGGCAATAAATTAAATTTCAGAATGTATGCACTGTTTGTGTGGAAAATTGTGAAATATTCTTGAATCGGGTTAGATATTTCTGATGTGATTCTTATAAGAAATACTCATGTCAACTCAGCCCTAAAAGTCAAATAAATTTCCAGTGTTAAATAGTGGACTAAGTAAGATCAGATCAGAAAATTATTGCTTGAAGTTAATCTGGTACGTGGGGAGAACTGTTACAGTATTTTCAAGGACATTACACAAATACTAGTAAGACTGTTCTCATCGCAGTAGAAACTTTTCAGAAATGAAAGCGCTAAGGATTTGATTTCTTAAAAGTAAGAAATTAGAACTTCAAGAAGATAAAAAAAATGCTGTTGGCAACTTTATAATTGGATTGACCTCATGCTCCCTTATGACAACACACTCTTATAATTACGGTAATGTCTAAATGAGTACTAAATATTAAGGCTGTAATGAGTCATGTTGTTTTACACATGTTTTTAGCAGAGCACAATGCTAACAGCATCTGATGACTTGGCTCTTGTTTCCTTTCCAAGAAAAGCAACCCAAAACTCCTCACAGCAACCTGTTCCTGCTTTCCTGCATGGGTCAGGAAATCAGGCCTCTGTTTCCTCTTCACATGTTGCAACAGGAAGAGCACTGCAGAGCTACTTCCTAAAGGAACTCTTCTTGCCCACCCTTTCCTTGACAGCCCTGAAAGAATTATGTGTATTATGTACGATGGGGGAAGGAGAGTCAGATTACATGTCAGTGCAGGTCACAGTTACAATGCAGCAGATCTCAAAAAGGTGTAAGGTCTGATAAGAAGCAAGTCTTCTCTACTTGCTCTGTCAAATCACCAACAGTTTAGATAAAGGTCTGTGCCCTTGAAGCACATATATATCTTGTTTTTAAGCATAACTGGAAATACCTTTCTGTCAAGAAAAGTTGTCTGGCCATGTGACTTTACATGGTGTTTACAGTTATTTTTTCAGTTCCAGAGATAATTAGTACAAGGGCAGGATGCCAAGCTAAAACTGAGAGCATATCCTTCACAGCCTTTCTGGGCATTTGTGTCCTTTTCCAATTTTTATGCTGCTGTCACTGGACTCTGGCATTTCTTACCCAACTCATTTGCTTTCTGTGGTAATCATATGCAATGAAGATATGCATGGCCAACATTTAAACAGGCTGCAGATCAATTAGTGGTCTTAAGTTTATCTGATTTTTATCAAAGAAGACAGAGCTTTGGGTCGATTGTCAGAGCCTGTGTCAAGTTGACCTTTTCAGAGACGTCTACATTGCCAGTCCCTTGGGCAACTTGCTGTCCCCTGTTAGTCACTGAATGGCAGAAGTCTGTTCTGCTCAAGCACAAAGTATACACAGATGTCTATATTACATTCTTATAGGTTTGACAGCAACTGCATGTTGTATCTATAAACTGTCCTTTAGCAGTGACACTTCCTCAATGATGATAAGCTAATTTATGCAACTAAATCTCCTTTGTGCAGAAATGAAAGCTAATTGAGTCATTACAAAGTAATTCAGGAAGGAATACCTTGTATAAATTGGCTTACTTTATAAATCCTTCTCAAGTGGTTTTCATGCATCCTAAGTGGTGCTAAGTAGTTTTGCTGCCATTGAATACCCAGGTGAAAAAGACAGCTTTACAGAGCTATAAAAACATTATTTTAAAACAGCAAAGGGAAGAGACAAGAAGGTAAAGGTAAAAAGGAAGTGCATACACAAAATAAAGAGGAAGTATTTTAATTACCTGAAATGGTGGTAACTTTCTCCTGGCTCAGTTTTCCTGGCACTTCAGCCTTTGAAGGAACACGTTCTTCTGCAAAACACATAACTGCAAATGAAATTCTGAGGGGACACCTCAGCTGACAGGAATTACAGCCCACATCAGTCCGAAAGCCACACTCTACATTTCCAGATCATAAGCTCTGTTTACTATTTTGCATTTGTACAGAAGTTGGAACGTTGTTATTTCTGTGGTTTCCCCCACCCATCCAAACACTCCAAGAGCTTTCTTTCAAATCTCAATTGTGAACATCTGTTTCCCTTTTCACTCTGCTCTGAATGCAGTGATACAGAGCTGCAGCTCTGCTGTTTTTCAGTCATTCTGAGACAATTAGAATGAGGGTCCTGTTCTGCTACGTACATTTCTTGCCAGGATAAAGAAAAGGAAACCGAGGACTGAAAATGTATCCGCAGCCCATGTGAGTATTCAGAAGTTCTTAAGAGCAGTATGCAGAGAAGGCAGAGGACATCTTACCTTCAACCCCATCACACAGACACACTAGCTGCACACCTGCATGATGGGGACACCGCCGCTACAGATGCCATGCACTCAGTGCTCCTGCCTGCTGCGCCTGACCATGGTTTTAAGCAAGCCAGACTGTATCAAATAGCTTAGTGGAAGCTTAGGAGGCAAGAAAATAGAAAGCCTGGCAGCAATCATCTCTGAAGCGTGTTTTCTGGCTAGCAGGCTTGGAACACTCTGAAAATCCCCACCGGCAATTTTGAAAGATGTGCTCCATACTCCCTGTCCAGCACAGATGGGGAACTCGCTCATGCCCACACCCTCACTTAAGTAAATCCACACTCCACTCAGTACAGGGACATAAGATCTGCTACTCACATTTCACAGTCAACAATTCTGTTGATGAGGCAAAAAAGGGAACAAACTATCATTTTTTTTAGCTGTATTCTTTCTTTAGCTTCATAAGGAAGTAGAAACAGATTTATCTCGGCCTTTACAGCATATCAAAACTGACAAAGCTGCTCTACTGAATGAGGAAATAGTATATTGATAAACCCACTTCTCAAACTGGAACTGGACTTTTAATATATTTAAACTACTTGGCTTTGCTACTCGTCACATCTTATACAGATATTCATGCTTCTTTTTAAGGCACATATTTCAGCAACTAATTTTGATATTTTATTAATGACAGACAACAGATACAGAACTCACAGCCTTTAAAACGTTCCTTATTGTGCAACTTTTATGTAATTGCTTATCTACTTTGACAAAGAGTGAATTTTATATCAACAGTTCAAAGGATTTTTAGCCTTGTAAAAATTTAATCTATCTACAAGACTGTTCCTGCAAACATTAAAGCAGATGTTTAAAGCGCAAGAGTAGACCTGTTAAAATGAGTATGCATAATTGCTGCTAACCTATATACGCAGTCCTACAAATATTACATCATGAGATTCGCTCTACAAAGACCTTTGAAATCCTGCCCTACCAAGCCAGCAAGAGTTTTTGCTTTCTGACTCTTGACGAGCTAAAAATCTGGTCAAGATGAATACAAACTATTATTTAAGCCAAGGGGAAAAAAAAGAACAGGGAAAATCTGAAGCTGTGGTACAACACAAAACACTCTAAACGATTTACTGCATTCAAATGTATTCCCCCACTTACCACAACACTTGTTGCACGTTTCCAAGTACTCTCATTTGTTTATTTTAAGCACTTATAATTGGAGCATAAATGGCAAAAATACATCCCTATGTGCTGTCCGGAGCACTAGGAGGCACTGTCATTCTGTGGCTTCCCTACCACTATTACACCACTCACAGGTAGTATTATCCCATTATCAGTCATACTTTCTAGGATTGCTTCCCAGTTTCATCCAACACACAGAGTATTATGCATTGATTAAATAAATGTTGATATTACATGTTACTGAATGTTTGGACCTACATCAACTGATGTGTCGAATGTACTCTGGATTTTAACTCTATCACCGTCATGGTCATCAGACTAGCTTAAACTGAGAATTGACTTTAGTAGAGGGATTTCAACTGAAGTAAAACAGCAGAGGAGGTTTGAAGAGATTTTTTCATAAGGTACAGTCGAACACATGTAGATTACATTGTGGTTTCATGGAAAAGTTTAGAACATATGCATTCCACTTCTGGAAAAATCATACTTTCTAGAAAAGAAGAGTTCACCAGATCCATATCTGAAGATGAGAAAGTGTCGGAACCAAGGCTCTTTGAATACCAAAAAGGTCACAAATTCAAACAAAGGCCATCCATATTAGAATACTGGTTTGGATCCCAACCATCCCCACTTATCCCACTTTGCTTTACAGTACACAGTTGTCACCGAGAGGACAAACTTTCAGGTGCAATTAGACTGGAAGAGGCACTCCAGAAGGACACTGAACGTGGTCCAGCTGCTAACAGGCATTCAGTCCGTGGAACCAGACTAAAGGGACTCCACAGGAAACCTCTTCTGAAACTTGAATAGCGCGAACATCAGGTCCTCGGCACAAACTTGCGCTTTATGAATCTGTTGCAAATGGTCCACACTACTTGCTACTGCAATCATGCCCACGGTGGAGCAGATGTAATAGGCTTGGCTTAGGGTGGTAAAAAAGAACCTATGGTTCTTACTAGTGTTTTATGGTATTATGTCCTGAAGCAATAACTATGTGCAGGAGATGTCCTTTAAACACAGCAACTTCAGTTACCCCAGGAATTAGGGCTGTAGTCTGAACCAACATAACAAAGTTTGTGTTGCAACATGGAATAGAGTCAAAAGATGAAAAAAAATTATTTTAAAAAAATATATACAGTAGAAGTCCTTCTGTATTATTAAGATACTGTGTAAGAGGAGTCAAGCAGACCTTTTAAAATAATCTGGTGCATTTCCTCTGTGTCTCTTCTTCACACCATCACTACCACTGCAGTGAGAAAATATTCATCATGACTATGTCAAAATGAGACTAATCCACACTAATCAAACCAGTGAACTCTTCCAGAGCTGTAGACGCAAAGAACCCTTGAAATACAGTTTATGTTCCATACTCTGCTGGTACTCAGAGACTCTAATGGCAAACCACCTACAAAATTCTTGTGGTGACAATACAACAAGGAACTAACTATATTTGTTAAGGGTTTTTTCAGTTAGTCCATGAAAGCTGTTGAAAGTTATTTATTTATTTAATTTGCGGTCTGAAGAAAGAACAGAAAAATAATCACCCAATCGTAGATGATTCTACCATCCACACAATTTAAAAAGTGAACAATGAACTCTACGCTAGCTGAGTTTTTTACATTAATCCATTGATTTTTTTCCTTCCAATTTCTTTTTTTTAAAGGGGGAGAGAAAAAAAAAAATCAGACTACTTAAGTATAAAATGGCTAAGAACACTGCATTCCTTCAATGGAATGTGGTATCTCCATGCTAAATATATATAAACTTAGCAGTTTCCTCCACTAACACATTACTTAAAAATCTTTTTCCATTAGACTCTAAATTAATGCCATAATTAACCAGTACTCTACTGTTTTCTAGTCTCTGACACATTGCCACTGCACAATACTAGTTTATACCTTGGATAATTCCAGTTTGTGGGCTAATATATTCTATTCAACACTTTAATAACAGTAAACAAAAACAGCTCAGCTATGCAGCAAAAGCTACCAAACCACACAGATGGTTATAAGGTTTTCATTGTGTGGTTTCCATAGCAATCATATTGCAAATCTGGAAGCTTCTTGCAAATAAGCAGCTTGTATTTACATGCCTCTCGGCTGCAGCATGGAACTCTACAACATGTGAAGTTGTTATTCCAATCACATATTGTTAGAAAAATCATTGGAAGATGTTTTGATCAGTTCGGATAAAAACTACTGCAGTGAACTAATTGTTCACCTATTTCATAATGATACAAGCAATCACACGCTTGTAATACACATTAATATATCTTCATCTGAAATCTCACTGTGGTGTCAGAAGGTTGTAAGCATACAAACAGGTCTTTTAAGACAGACCCCCACAAAAATATTTGTATTATTAAATAATCAATTTTTTTAAAAAAATCAGTGCCTTTACTATTGTACACACCAGGGATGAGAGATGCATGCAAAACAAAAAGGTGGGTAAATTAAGAATTCTGCTGGCAGTGAACAGCATGGACTGCTTTGCGCAAGAAGAAGTAAAAAGATACAATGGCATGGTAACACCAAGCAGTTCTCCACACTGCTTTTTTGCTACCAAATAATGACTCTGCACAGATGTAAACAAGAACTTTCAAACATGAATAAATGATTACTGTGGGAAAGAGTCAAGACCTTTTCTCTCCCAGATTTATAATTTTATGAATTGACCTAACCCCATAATAGATGGCTTATTACTCTAATAAGGAACATAAATCAATCTAGCTATGTATTTTTTTTTTTTTTTAAATAGTGAGAACTGGCTTTTTTTTTTTTTTTTTTTTTTTTTTTTTTTTTTACAAACAAGATTATTTGTTTAGAGAAACATTCAAGAATTCCAAATATAGAGCAAAAACCACACAAAATTTAAGAAAAAAACCATTTTTATACTTTGGCCAGACTGACACCTTCTGCTAGCGTTAGTAGTGAGGGCTAGAGACCATCTGGGGTCAAAGGAATAAAAGTTAACACCCTGCTTTGCCTGAGGACAGTGCTCCCCAGCATTAGGGAGGGGATCCTCAGCAGTATTCTCACCATATATATGCTGTACATACCGATACACTTCACTCAAACTCTTACAGGGTTTTAGCCTAAGCAGCTTGATATCCCAGAAATCCCACATGTACTGCTTGATCCTAGGCTTATTTGCTTTGGTGTGTGCATTTATAATAGCAGGGATTTTTCCTTTCTGGTGTCTTCTTTTAGACTCCAGATCCACCATTCTGTAGGGAGATCTCCAAATCCAAGTTGATAAACTCTATCTTGGATAATCCAGTATTCCCACAGATCTGTCCCTCTCCCACAGTTCTTTGTGGACATGACAGATTACTGGAGGATTTACACACAACTTCTTGACATTTCACCCTTCATTCCCAG